GAATAGTATTTGTACATTTTCCTAATGCATTTGGTGGCATGTGGCTAAGCTTCTGCTATTTACTTCTGCACATATTTACACATTTCATTCGTATAGAAATTCATTTACTACATTTTCTTTCGTTGAATTCATTATTCTTTAATAGTTATTTATTTGTTTCCTACCTCGTTTGTCTCTTGTTCTCATGTCATGTGAATTTCCTTTCTGGTGATTGATGTTTTTGCATAAAAGTAGAAAACATGATTTACCTCCACCAACATCGCATACAGAAAAGCGGGGTCGTTCAGATCCACACCGTTTGGGTTCTCCACGCTCACCTTTATCACTTTCATTGAAACAGGCACAACAGGCACAGCTAAAAACACAAACAAACTTCATCAGTCACAACATTTATGGTGTCTTCTTTTTCAACAGACTCAATATCATCACTTGCTTTGACGTAGCTGTGAATTTTACTCACGTCCGTAGCAAATGAATGGTTTCTTCACTCCACAGTCCAAGTCCTCCCATTCTCCAGAGTTGTCGAAAGCTGCAGCCACACAAGCTTTGAGACCTACGTAGTTAGGTTGATTTACTTTCCAGTACTTGAAGGAGGAGTTGCTTCCATCGGACCACTTCCAGGAGTCTCTGTAGAGGCCGATCCAATAACGATGATTCCCTCCAGATACCAGCTCAACAATCTGCTGGTTCTCTGTCAGGTTTCTCACACTGGCCAGGTCTGTGTGGTGTTCTCTGCAGTAGCTCTGGGCCTCAGGCCATGTCATTGCGCTGTTGATGAGGACAAATGTTGCATTCGGCCCTGAAAATGGACCCCAGAGAAGCTGAGTAGAGGCACCACAACATACAGCCTGACATCAATGCCACATCTCTGGTGGTATTGATGCCTTTATAATATAAAATATTACATTTAAATCCCACAAATGGGGCGAAGCCTGCGAGCTAGTTCAGGCAGTCAACTCGAGCACCAATGATACATTAACACGTGACGCACCTCATCCCTCTTACAACCAACCAAACACATTCTCCTAAACATGCCGCTCTATTTAAGCTACCAGGTCTTCCTGCCTCTGCCTCGCTATGCTGCTGCTGCTGCCACTGCTGTGTTCATTTGCTATTGCTGCGTTCATGTTCATGTTCCTGCTGCTGTGTTTCATGTTGCTGCTGCTTGCCTGACCCACCACCACTCCAGCTCCCACCCCAGCTTCCACCTGTAGGCTCGGGGGATAGTTATCTAATCATCACTCAATGTTCTTTGTAAATCTGTAGAGTGATGAGGCCCGAGCCTAGACGCCAAACCCAAACTATATGCTGCTATAATAAACATATTAAAGAAACACGTGAGTTGTCTGACTGAAATGTGTACTTTGTAATTTGTAGTTCCGGGGTTTTTCAACACATGAATGTTGGCAAGAAACTTAAGTAGAATCAGTGGTGGAATATTCAGATCTTTTAGTAAAAGCAGGAGCACAACGATGTGAAGATACTGTGTTACAGGTTAAAGCTTCATTCAAATGATATTGATTCTATATTGTTCTTATTCTGTTTAGCACAGATGTATAAGATGTAAAACGTACCTACAATTCTGAAACAAGTTTGCAAAAAATTGTATGTACATAATTTCCTTTTACGTTATCTTTTAAATGAAACCATGTGAGAATTTGAGTGAAAAGGGAAATGTCTTTAGTGGAACTGCTAACAAAAGAAAAGAAAGTCACAAACAAAAAAGGTTGGGAACCGCTAGTTAGATAAAGACCAATGCATTGTATTTCAGAAGCTTCAAATATGATTTTAAATGTGTAATATTAATTTTAAGTTTATATTCTTACCTGTGACATCGAAGCAGATCACCCAATAGCGGTAATTACAAAGATAACGAATCCATGTTCCATCATAATAAAACAATGTGCATTGGTAATCTTGCCAGTTGCTTGGTTGTCCAGTCCCCCATGGTCTGAACTCCGTCTCCCCCGGTCCGTAGAAGCTTGGGTCTGACATCGACCACCTCCAGGTGTCCCGGTCATCGTGCAGCCCTATCCAGGCTGACTGAAAGCAAGAAATTGTTATAATTATTACATCCTGTTGAAGCTTTTAAAGCTGCTGCTGAAGAAAATGTGTATGTTTAATAAAGAGAAGGTTTGTTTGCCTTTATGAGACCAGCCTTGGTACATGGTGATCTGATGGGAATCCCCTCAAGTCAACATTCATTTACAGCCTTGTTACTCTGAACCTCTTCAACTTTATTACAGGGTTTTATGCTATAGCTTTGGCTTAAAACATTTTCAACTCTGTTTTAATACTCAGGTTCCCATAGGACTTTAAAACAGGTTTAGCTTTCTGTAATAATCTCTCCTTTTTAAATTTGACTCTAAAAGAAATGTAATTCATTTGAATCAAAAGACAGAGAAAAGTGACCTCACTTGGTTGTATTGGCCTGCCATGTTGTTCAGGAGCTCCACAACCTCCATGCTGTCTACAGTGGCCAGGTCTGTGTGTTTCTCTCTGCAGTATCTCTGTGCTTCAGACATGGTCTTTGCTTCAGAAACAAAATGGTACTGACGTTCAGCATGTGAGGAGACAGCGCTCAGCCCTGTAGAGACACAGACACTTTGATTAGATTCAATATCAATTACTGAACCAAGTTCTCCAAATTACATTAAAGTTAAACTGTAAATTAAACAACTTAAGTAATTGTCAGAGGGAAACCAAAATAGAAAGTACTAAAAATTGCTAATGGGATAACATATTTTAAATACAAATAATAATTACCTGAAAGAGCGATGATGATCAGAAGAACTTTTTCCATCCTTGTCTCTTCCCTGTTCCTCTCTTTTGGAAAGAGACTGTAGATGTGCAGCTGTTGACATTATACATAGGTAAAATGCAAAGTGGATATGGAACCTACACCTTTTTTACATCAGGCTTATTTAGTTACATTTGCACATGCATTTACAAGGAAAGACCAATAGAGTAATATGGGCGTAGGACTGGTGATGCAGCAGGAAAACCAAATTCATGCCCATAAATAAAAAAATACAAAAAGTCTGAAACAACACTGATCATTTCATATAATGAGACACTTTTACAGTTTACAAGCTAATACATTTAAAATATCACAAAACCGGTGTACTGTACGAATCATTGCACAAACTTCCAGCTTCATACTTTGGGTATTCTAGTAAAACATTTGTACATGCTTTAATGTTACACAAACTTTATTTTCTTTGTGTCTGGATACCTGTTTCAAACGCTTTGTTTTAGCTGCTCAAAAGGATTTTATTGTCAAGGCAAAGGCTTAAGTCCATGTTCACCCTCTGATGGCGTTTACTGCAAACCAAAATGAACTGAGACACATTCAGAATGTTTAGAGCTGCTTTACAATTAAAACATCTTTATATTTAAAAACCTCACTTTTCAAAAATCACTTTATAGTCTAAAAGGCATTACCTATATTTAAAAAAAAAAGCGTCTTGTGATCCAGGATCTTGCATATATCCCGGCCGAACATCTCTCACCAAAGATCTTCTAAATTTCTCCCAACAAGAGGACATACCCTCCATTACAAAGTGCACCATGATGGATGTGGCTGAGGTGGAACTGTTCTCAGGAAGGTTCATGTATAAAGAGAACTGAGCAGTGTCAGAAGCAGGACTCTGTTCATTCCTATATTCCACAATGTGTTTTGACAGAAATACGACTGAACTGACTCGACTTCCAGCATCAGCCTCCATGGCGTTAGAACAGGACTTATTATTGGAACTGAAACACTCAGGTAATCTGAACAACACAGTAACTGAACTCTTCAGAAAGAAAGGAGGATGGTTTTTGGGAACAAATAATCAAACGTATTGGTGAGTAATGGCTATATTGACTTTTATTAAACATTGTTGATATTTTCTTGTCATTTTATGAAGTAAATATTGTTGCTTCTGCTAGAGATGATGTGCGGCGCAGCAGTGAAAGGATGCTTGTTGAATTGTGTTGTTTGGTGTTCTTGCTTTAGTAATGGCATTCATTCTCTCTACATTAGAAACCTGTCTGTGATGCAGCGCCCTGTTATACTGCGTTAATGTATCATATTAATGGTTTCTATAGCCGTGACGTCATAATAATGCTATTAGGAGGTGGATTCATTCAGGCAGACACTACTGAAGGCCTAGGTGTGAAATGCACAGCCTGTTTCTGTTTTCAACATAACTCATTTGAAGATATTGTGAGACAAAAAAACAATAATTAGGATGCAAATAAAGAAACACATTTTTGTATGAAATTTCATTAAAGGTCATTTTTTTTATTGGTAATTTAATCTTAATCAGAATTCAACAAAAGCCAAACATTTTATTATTATCTCCCACCGGCCCAGCAAATACATTCAATAGTAAAAACCCTAAACATATTAAATTCATAACCATATATAACAAGGAAAAGCATTACATTCTCTATCTTCTATCAAAATGATCGTAACTAATTGATTATTCAGATCATTGTTGCAGCTGAATTCTGTAACACGAGGACTTTGAGGAAAGAAACACACTTTTCATTTATTTAATAGCTGGTCTTATGTCTGTGAGCCCTCCTGTTGTTAATTGATAAGCCTTGAAACATGCACTTGTCAAGGTTCAGAGGCACATTTTGCAAATATGGCACCATCGATCATCTTACGATAAGATAAGATATAATTTATTGATCAAGTTTGACATTTTTTCATTGCAGTAGCATGTGTAAAAGTTGTAAATATGCAGTGGTGTTTATTTGTAAATCATTTAGTATAATCACACAAATTCTGTGTTTTATATTTAATAATTCTGTGTTCTTTATTTATTGAATGTTTAATACCTGACAAGGTCGGAGATGAAAAACTTGGGTCGCAGGTTCCTCAACAGTGCATTACAAGACATCTATCAATATGTGTGTATACCTCCACCATTAAACTGTCATATTCTGCACATTTCTTATTCTATCTACATACATATTATAAGAGTATAATTCTTATGTATAATATCAGTTAAAATAAGTGCTTCAACATAGTTAACATTGCAGGAAAGGTGATTGTCAAGCCAAAACAAATTATGCAATATTTTAAACGTTAAGTACTTTGTCAGGCTTAATATTTATGTGTAGATACCCCCAAAGCTTTTTTCTTATTTAAAAGAAGACCTTAACCTATAGTATTCTTTAATGTTTAAATAAAGCCTTATTAGTTTGTCTGTTTTGCACATCCTCCTATTAATATCTTTGGACATCCGGCACTAAACTGTTTTATTGTAGAGATCACTAGTATCTTATTGATATTTTATATTCTATATTTCTATCATTGACCTTCTACTTTCCCCCTATGAAAGTATGTACTCTTAATATTTTTATGTTTTCATCAGATATAACATATTCAACAAAGAAATTCAATAACGTGCTTTAACCACTAGGCGGTGCGGGTTAAAAAACTGTCAAGTTTACAGTGTTAGTGTTTAGTTTATGACGGATGTATTTTGTTATGGACACATATATTGTTTTGATATTTGTAACATCAAACCGACAGAAAATATGTGCTTAACATGACCCAGTGGTCTAGTTAATACAAAATATATGATCATATATATATATGAATCAACATAATATTCAAATGAACTCTTATTTTGAAAATACAGCTTCCTGTGTTCGAATGAGCTGCTCTGACCCTCGGTCCTGACGGACTCCAAATGTCCGACATAATGCGACATTATACAATCAAACAAATAAATAAACACAAGGATAATTGTGTCTTATTGTTGAGTAAATAACAGTGTGTGGTTTAGAAAACAATACAGATTTCAGTATTCTGAGCCCCCACTCTCCCCCTAACTGACGGCAACAAAAGTCCAACATTATACAATTAAAATAAAGAAGTAAAAACAATAAGTGTGGCTTGATATTGAGTAAGAAAAAGGTTGATAAACGCTGTGAGAATGGGTCTGCGGAGAGCATTTCTCCGCGATCCCAACTCGTCTATTAACGTTTAGGGAGCTCTATGCAAGTCAATGGGACTCCCTGATAGTTGAAAATTGACGCTAAAGGGTTAATATATTTTATACATTGCGTTTGATAGTGACGCCAAGGGATCCTGACATAACTTCACTATAGTACGAGTTGGGAGAGAGAATGTGTTGTTCATTTATAATCTCCTTTAGTTTAGGATACACTCGACCACCCTTTTAGAAATAAAAGGAGAAAATGTTGTATATTTTTTAGGGCTGTCAGTCGATTAAAATATTTAATCGCGATTAATCGCATGATTGTCCATAGTTAATCGCGATTAATCGCAAATTAATCGCACATTTTTTATCTGTTCTAAATGTACCTTAGAGGGATATTTTTCAAGTTTTTAATACTCTTAACATATGAGTGGACACATATGCTTTATATGTTTGTTTATTATCATTTGAACAATGACAAATATTCTCATGAATATTAAACACAACAACCTCTGAACATTACAAATATTCGCCTCAATTCAACCTGGAACCTCTCTCATACAATAATACTGTGTGTGTGTGTGTGTGTGTGTGTGTGTGTGTGTGTGTGTGTGTGTGTGTGTGTGTGTGTGTGTGTGTGTGTGTGTGTGTGTGTGTGTGTGTGTGTGTGTGTGTGTGTGTGTGTGGAGACACTCTGATGGATCGTTGGAGCTATGTGCAGCTCAAGGCATATATGCTTGAACGGGAGCTGCAATCATGTTGCATGTTGAGTGTGCTGACTTTTCGTACAATGTCCCACTGTCTGGCTACCTGCATAAAGTCAAGTGCTCGGCGCAGTTGTCGGCGAAATGTCATTGAAACAGCTCCTTATATTCGTTAGCGCAGCTAGCTAGCACCAGATGCTAACAACAACAACAACACGTAAGGTGTGCCTCGCTCGCGCCACACATACACACCCTCCCGGTCCTCCCGATGGCCAGTCCGGGCCTGCCGGTGAGCGTGGAAGTGTGGTCTGCCACAAGCGGGCGGCAGGATCGGGGCTGTCAGCATCAGCTTGTAGATGGTATTTTAAACTCGATGCGCTCTGAAACTACGGGGCGGCCGAGGACAAAAAATACACATGCGTTAATCGCGTTAAAATAATTAGTGGCGTTAATCTTTTTTTGCGTTAACGCGTTATTAACGCGTTAACTTGACAGCCCTAATATTTTTGAATGTAATAATGTTGTTTACTGTTGTTCATGTTTATAAATCATCACCACAAAGAGCAAAGTATCTACAGGCGCTTATAGTAATCTACTGTTTCCTCATGGCAGACGCACATCAATAACATCCGCTGGCCAATCATTAACATCCTAATGTAAATGCAGTCAGATTCAGTTCGCACCGCAGTTGTCTTTTCCTGAGTCCTGATGTATTCTCCTTTGCATTTTCTCTTAACCCTATGATGTTTAACTCAGAAGTTAAGGAATAGTGGTTTGGAAAAGACGATAGGATAATCTTTTGAAATTCAACCGCAACCTGTGTGGTCAAAAAGGTCATCAATGCAACTTGTTGGAAAAATATCACTCGTCACCGGCTTCAGCTTCAATATCAGGATCCATGTATTTATTATCCTCTCAAGAATGGAAGTAGTCATCACATACAGAGCATTTAGTACAACTAGTTTGTGAACAGTGTCCTTCACATGCTGATATAGAAGAGAGGGAGTTACACAGTCACAAGATGGAGGAATATAAAGCAGTATTCAATGTTTAGTTCAGATTAGCTAAGACCCACGTCAGCAATACACATGACAGTCATATGTCTATCTCCATAGAGGCTGAATCATCATGTTAATCACATAGCTATCAAATTCCTAAAACAGTGTGTCCTGACGCTCTTCTAGGTAATCATACATCCTGTC